GAGGGCTGCGGGTGAGGGTCTCTGTGAGCGCAGGGGAGGTGGCAGCGAGGAAGGAGGGGTAGGAGGGCTGCGGGTGAGGGTCTTCGTGTTCCACAGGAAGAGTTAATACGCATTCTGGGTAGATGCACAGGTACCTTGAGCCATAATAGCAGTCACTAAAAATAAGTCGCAAAGAGAGAGCCAAAAACCCACTAGACGGATAAAACGGAATAACTCAAAAGCAGGCAAAATAATAATTCAGAAGGAGGTTTGGGAAGCAGGTACAGAAAAAGCCAGCGGAAGAAGCAGTACTGACGTGGCCGTCCTGACTCCAGACACACCGGCCGTGGCGCCCAGAGGGAGTGGTTGGCAGGACTGATCAGGGACGGAGAGCTCCAGGCTGTCTAAGGAGTGCGCGTCCAGCAGTGACACAGGCTCAGAGGACGGCAGGCCGTGGGGACACCGACGTGGGGACACCCGGAGCGCCCGTGTTAGCGACAGACAAGGTGGACTTCAGAGCCGAGGCGGCCTGCGGGGGCTCAGAGAGACGGGGCGTGGTTGGAGGGCTCAGTGCTGGAAGACGACAGACGACGCCCCAGACGCAGCTGCGTCGACCGCAGGGCTCCAGCCCAGGGAGCAAAACCTGGAGGAGCCGGAAGGGAAGTGGGTCCACTGTGCGGCCGGAGACCCCGGCTCTCCTCACCGTGTGCACGGTGGACCAGGCAGGTGGGAAGTCACCAGGCCATAGAAGAGTGGACAGCGTCATCAGCCGACTGGATCTGTGTGATGTGTGTAGAGAGAACTCTGTGCCTGCAACTGTGGACAGTGCTCAGTGCACCTGCAGTGCCCCCACCCCAGGTAGGACAGCCGTGGACAGCGCTCAGTGCACCTGCAGCCCCCCAGGTAGAAGAGCCGTGGACAGTGCTCAGTGTACCTGCAGTGCCCCAGGTAGGACAGCCGTGGACAGCGCTCAGTGTACCTGCAGCCCCCCAGGTAGAACAGCCGTGGACAGTGCTCAGTGTACCTGCAGTGCCCCAGGTAGAAGAGCCGTGGACAGTGCTCAGTGTACCTGCAGTGCCCCCACCCCATGTAGAACAGCCGTGGACAGTGCTCAGTGCACCTGCAGCCCCCCAGGTAGGACAGCCGTGGACAGCGCTCAGTGCACCTGCAGCCCCCCCCCCCCCCCCAGGTAGAACAGCCGTGGACAGCGCTCAGTGCACCTGCAGCCCCCCCCCCCCCCAGGTAGAACAGCCGTGGACAGTGCTCAGTGCACCTGCAGCCCCCCAGGTAGAACAGCCGTGGACAGTGCTCAGTGCACCTGCAGCACCCTCCCCCCCCAGGTGGACGTCAGCCTGGGTCACAGGAGAGTTCAGCCTCTTCAGAAGAACAGAAATTACACCAGGTGTGTTCTCTGATCCTAACGGAATTAAACCAGAAATCAACAACGAGGATGACATAAGTGTTTCCAAACACTCAGAAATTAGAACGTTTCTAAATAATCCACAAGTCAAAGAGGAAGCCTCAGGAGAAAACGAGACGTTGTGAAATGAGCAAAGTAGAGTGCGATACGTGAACGTCCGCTCTGACGGAAGTTTATGACGTTGGGGCAGCCGTGCGGCCTAGTGGGAGAGGCTGTCCGTTGGGAAACCCACGTCCCATGTCAGAGTACTTGGGTTCAGGTCTATGCCCTGCGCCTGACTCCAGCTTCCCACTGACGCAGGCCCTGGTGGGGGCAGAGGGTGGTGACTCAGTGGACCCCTCCCACCCCGAGGGAGGCCTGGACTGGGCTCCTGGCTCCTGGCTCGGCCTCGGCCAGCCCAGGCCAGTTAGGGGATTTGCAGAGGGAACCAGCAGATGGGAGCCTTTCTGTTTGTCTCTCTGCATCCATTTGTCTCTGTCTCAAATAAATGCATTTATAAATATAAATATTATATTTATAGCATAACATTAAACTTAGAAAAAAAAAGATCTTGAATCAGTTATCTAATCTTCTGCATCAAAAACAGAAGCATTTTTTTAGGAAACAGAGAAGCCAGCGAAACAGAGAACTGAGTCTTCGGAAAGATCAGTGAAGTCAGTCAACTCCGGCAAGGCTGAGAAGGAGGAAGGAAGACCCACTGTTCACGTGGGCAACGGGAGAGCCACTGCTGCGGACAGCGCAGGGGTTCCGAGGACACCAGGGAGTGCCGTGGGGTCAGATGGAACGGATGAGCTCCCAAGGGACCACTGGCTGCTGGAAGTCGCCCAGGGTGAAGGAAGCAACCTGCGTGGTCCTGTGACATTGGAGAGATCGAATTCAGCGTTCTCCTTTGAGATTTATTTATGTATTTGTTTGGGAGAGTGACAGAGAGGGAGGGAGAGGCAGAGGAAGAGATCTTCAGCCTACTGGTTCTTTCCCCAAATGTCTACAATGGCCAGGATTGAGCTGCGCCGGAGCCAGGAGCCTGGAACCCCATCTGGGTCTCCCACGCCGGTGGCAGGGACCCGAGTGCCTGGGTCATCTTCTGCTTCCCCAGGCAGCTGGGTCGGAAGCAGTGGAGTTGGGACTTTCGTTGGCCCTTTGCCGTGGGATGCTGGCGTCTCTGGGGGACGCTGGCGTCACTGGCCCTCTGCTGTGGGATGCTGGCCCTCTGCCATGGGATGCTGGCGTCACTGGCCCTCTGCTGTGGGATGCTGGCGTCGCTGGCCCTCTGCTATGGGACACTGGCGTTGCTGACCCTCTGCCGTGGGACGCTGGCGTCGCTGGCCCTCTGCCGTGGGACGCTGGCGCCACAGGTGGTAGCTTCACTTGTTGGGTCACAACACCTGCCCCAAATTCACGAGTTGAAAAACTTTTGAAAACAAGATATCTGGGCCTATTCAGTTTACAAACTGCGGAATATTTTCAGAATCTTTTCCAGAAAATAGAAGATACGGAAATAATTCCCAACTCATGTAACGAGGCCAGCATTACTCTGATAGGAAAACCAGAAAAAGACAGTAGCAGGAAAACAAAACTGCGGGGCTTTGTCCCTCACGAACGTAGATGAAAAATGCCCAAGTGGAATCCAACACTATGCAAAGATAATAATACATTATAACCACATGGGGGCCTGTTCCAGGAGCGCAAGTCTGTTTTCTATTCAAAAACCAATTTATATGATTCAGTTCAGTTACAGCCTAAAGAAGTAAAGCCATATGATCATAGCAGTTGATACAGAAAAGGCAGCTCACAAATTCAGCATCTGTTTCTGGTAAAACCTCTGAACAAGCTAGCGAGATGAGGAAGCTTCTTGAGCCTTCCCAGGATTATAGAATCCCGGGATGCGTCTGCCCCAAGACCAGGAACAAGGGAGAATGCCCACTCTCAGCACCTGATCCTGGTCAACACGGCGCTGGAAGTTCCGGCCAGTGCCGTGGGGTCCAGCAAGGGAGACACACACGGCACGGAGGAAGCAAACCGCCCTTAGTGTGGACAGCATGATTGTCTGTGTAGACGATCCCCAGGAACCACAGAGTAACTTCCGGAGTGAGGAGGTGACTCAGTGAGGTTGCTGGATGACACGGGGTGCGTGTGGCGAATTGCGTTTCTGCATACGAGCAGTGAGCGCTCAGAAAAGTGCAAAAAAAAAAAAAAAAAAAAAAAAAGCCCCCTCAATGCAACAGCTCTGTGAAAGCTGGTAACCTTAGTGTGGAAACAGACCTGAATCCTGATGAGGCATCGCATCTGCGTGTATTGGAAGGCTCAGCAGGGTAAAGACGTCCTTCTCCCCAACGTTGATCTATGGATTGAACGTGAATCCAGTAGACATCTCGGCAGGGTGTTTTAACAGACGCAGACAAGCTGATTCTAAAGTTTACGTGGACGGGCAAGGGAATTAGAGTCGAAAACAGTTTTGAACAAAAACAGCAAAGTTGGAGGAGTCACCCTCCACCATTCAGGACTTCATGGAGAGCGGCGCTAATCAGTGTAGAATATTATTGGTAAAGGGATTGCACATAGACTTACGGGGCAGAGCGGGGAGTTTGGAAATAAATCAGAGCCTAGAAGTTTTTAATGGACATGCACATGGCATGTGGCCCCACTGGCCTACTCTTAGAGAAACGGGAACTCGCCCAGAAATCTGAAGACCCAGGACGCTCTGGGACGGGTGAAGGGATGAGAAACGGCACAGCCACACGGCAGAACACCGTTCAGCAGTGAGCAGGGTGACCGAGGCTCGGCGTGCAGCGGCCTGCATGAATCTCGTCCGCGTTGTGTTGAGGGAAGGGAGCCAGCGTCCAGGTTGTGTCCGATATGATCCCACGTGTGACATTCTCACAAAGACCAAGCCACTGGGGCTGGCGCTGTGGCCTGGCGCCTAAAGCCACCACCTGCAGTGCTGGCATCTCAGATGGGTGCTGGTTTGAGACCCAGCTGCTCCACTTCCGATCCAGCTCTCTGCTGTCCTGGGAAAGCAGTAGAAGAAGGCCCAAGTGCTTGGGCCCTCGCACCTGCGTGGGAGACTTGGAGGAAGCTCCTGGCTCCTGGCTTCAGATCAGGTCAGCCCGGCTCCGGCCATTGCGGCCAACTGGGGAGTGAAGCAGCAGATGGAAGGCCTCTCTCTCTCTCTCTCTCTGCCTCTGTGTAACTTTGCCTTTCAAATAAATAAATTAAATTAAAAACAAAGACCAAGCCACCGTTGCAGACCACCATCAGGGTCGTTGGGTTAGGTGAAGCCGGGGGTGTTTGAAGGTGACGGAGCTGGTGCGCATCCTGACTGTGTGCTGGTCGTGTGAATCTGTGTAGAACCACGCACGGAGACAGAGCCGTTCTGTGCTTGATTAAGGAGCACAAGACGAGATACACTGGCTGTGATCTCTACTTGGGTCCGGGATTATGCGGCGATGATAGGATTTTCTGGGACTTCAGTGCCACAGCCCGTTGTTTTCTGTTCAGAAAACTTCGCTGCTGCTCCGAGCGCACACACGTTGTGTCGGGGCGGCCGTGAGTGACCGGAGAGTGCTGGAGGACTGGCCCCCACTGTGCCCTCTGATTGCAGGTGAAGCAGGTGGAGTCGGGAACCATCCAGTTCCAGTTCTCACTGAGCTCTGAAGAACTCCTGGACGCGCCCACGCAGTGCGCCAGCGGCCCCAAGGCAGAGCGCCCGTCCGCCAGGAGGCCGCCCACGGCCCCTTCAAGTGAGTATCCGCAGGGAGCCGACTTTGCAAGCCTGCAGCGTGGCTGCCATCTGTTCTCGAGGAGAGATACTTAGTCCAGCATAGTAACCGTCACGATTATGAGTAGCTGCCACAGACTGCTTTTTTTGGAATCAGTTGGGATTAACAGGTGTACCATTGGCTGGTGGCGTGGCGTGGCGTGGCCCAGCAGGTCAGCCCTTGTGCTGCAGCCGTGAGTCGGCCCAGTGCCTGACCCAGCCACGGTTCCCTGACCCAGCACCCGCGGGTGGCTCTGTGGGCGGCACCTGGGGGGTACGACCTCCCGTGGATGTCCTGCACGCCTGGGGCCCGAGAGCTGAGAGACTGGCCGAGAGTGGGGCTGCAGGGTGCTCTGTGTGTTGCCGTAGGCACCTCCCACTCCCCTTGGAGCGCTGGGGTCGGGAATGTGTGTCTCGCTGGCTGCCAGCAGGAGTGGCAGATGGGCCTGCACGTGTGTGGTTACGGAGCTGTAGCACGGGTGGGTCTCGCGCCTTCTGCTGCCGCCGGCACCCTGTGTCCAGGGCCTCTTAGCTGGGGACCCGTGGCCTGATGGGGGATCCCGTCAACAGGGAAGAGGGGGTGGAAGAGGGAGCGTTTGGGAAGTCCACCTGAGTGAGTGCCAGGCCTTGGCTCTGGGGATCTCGCCAGCCGAGAGTAAGTTCTGGAACCTGGTCCGTGACCCCCTCCTCTCTGCTGGTTCCTGGGGGGACCCCCACCCTCCTCTTGCCGGTGAGTTGGGTGTCCAGGAGGACCTGCTGCCTCTTCCCGGCTGCGGCGCCCGAGACCCGGTGGGAAGGTGCCGGAGCTGCTGTCTCAGAGCGATGTCCTTTGGGAGCCGAGGGCCCAGTGTATGGAGACTGACTGGCCTTGAGTGCATTTGACCAGCAGGGCACTGGTGTCGTTGGTCCAGAACTTGATCTGCTGACCTCCGTTTTCACGGTCTTGCAGAATTCTCTGCGATGCCCCCAAAGATTCGGCCACCAAAAGTTAGCACAGGTTGAGCACCTGTGACCCGAGGTGCTCCGGAATCAGCTCGCACAGTGTCGGGTGCTGGAGGGCTCGGGTTTCAGACGGGGGCGCTGACGTAGCGGCGGCCCCCGCCCGGGGCAGAGCACCTCTGTCCGCCGTCGCTCCTCCCACGGCCTCTCCCTCTGCCTTTCAGGCTCCCAGCTCTGTGCCTGCCAGGTGGGTCTCAGGGTTTCGTTCCCCACGTGTGCATTCGTAATCTGAGATGAGTGGTGCCCCAACGTGCAGCGCCCTGTACACGGGGTGGTGCTGGAGGGTGTGTACCACAGCGCCCCTGTACACGGGGGTGCAGGAGGGTGTGTACCACAGCGCCCTGTACACAGGGTGGTGCAGGACTGTCCACTACAGTGCCCTGTACTCGGGGGGTGCAGGACTGTCCCCCACAGCGCCCTGTACTCGGGGGGTGCAGGATGTCCCCCACAGCGCCCTGTACTCGGGGGGTGCAGGATGTCCCCCACAGCCCCCTGTACTCGGGGGGTGCAGGATGTCCCCCACAGCGCCCTGTACTCGGGGGGTGCAGGATGTCCCCCACAGCCCCCTGTACTCGGGGGGTGCAGGATGTCCCCCACAGCGCCCTGTACTCGGGGGGTGCAGGATGTCCCCCACAGCCCCCTGTACTCGGGGGGTGCAGGATGTCCCCCACAGCCCCCTGTACTCGGGGGGTGCAGGATGTCCCCCACAGCCCCCTGTACTCGGGGGGTGCAGGATGTCACCACAGCGCCCTGTACTCGGGGGGTGCAGGATGTCCCCCACAGCCCCCTGTACTCGGGGGGGTGCAGGATGTCCACCACAGAGCCCTGTACTCGGGGGGGGGTGCAGGATGTCCCCCACAGCCCCTGTACTCGGGGGGTGCAGGATGTCACCACAACGCCCTGTACTCGGGGGGTGCAGGATGTCACCACAACGCCCCTGTACACGGTGGGGGGTGCAGGATGTCACCACAGTGCCCCTGTACTCAGGTGGTGCTGCTCTGTCCACTGGAATGCCTCGCGGTGGCGGCTGGCGGGCCTGGACTTGCTGTCAGGGTCGGTCTTGTTGGACCCTGTGGGTTGCGTTGAGCCCTGGCCGTGCGGGTCACCGGCACCGAGCAGGGGGGAGTTTGCTTCCAGCCCTTTGGCTGCCCTGGGTCTCGCGTCTGTCGTCTCTGGCACAGGCTGCCACACTCCCGCGCGGTCACCACCGACCCTGAGCCACGTGGCTCTGGAAGGGCGGGCGATCGTGGCGTACGTTGGTTTCACGGCTAAATGGGAACACGGTGTGGTGCAGTTTCGATCGTGTTCCTGCAAGGGTGGGGTGGCCGTGTCTGGAAGCAGCAGCATAGGTAATCCCCGAGAGTGGACTTGTACAGCTAGCCTTAGGGAGGGTCTAATCACCTGCTCTGAAAGGGCTGTTTCGAGTGTTAAATCGCGGTACAGGCTGTGGCCCTGCAAACAAGCAGCCGCCATGTCCGGGTGCTCTGTGAGCTGACAGGGTCCCCCGGGGGCTTCCCCTGGGCTGGACCCGCCGAGGGTGTCGTCCGTGGGCCTGGGCTTCGCCTCCCTGGTTGCCGGCCTTTTCCTGAGGAGGCTGGAGGAGGTTTGAAACCAGCCTTCCCACGGCGTCACTTTCCCAGAATTGTTCTTTTTTTTTTTTTTTTATAAGATAGATTTTTAAAAGATTTATTTTTTTTTTCAATCAAGAAATTTTTACTGAACCCACACCAGCTACCAGTGTATCTTTTACGATGAGCAGTATAAAGAAGCGCTGCTTCAAATGTGTTACAGCCACGTGGGTGTAAGGTAGACGACAGGAGCTTCACCTGCCGCAAGTGAGCTGCTGGCGCGTTCCGGGGGGGGGGGGGGGGGGGCGGAAGCAGAGTACACGCAGAGAGGGCGCACGGGTGCCGTCCTGTCCAGATCGACTAGGGGGTGTCCTCGATGAAGTGATGTAGTGTTTACCCCACGGAAGGTTGAGAGTCAGATTTGCAGAGGGAGAGACCTTGTATCTGCCGGTTCCCTCCCCAGATGGCTGCGTTGGCCAGGGCTGGGCCGTGCTGAAGCCAGCAGCCTCCTCCCGTCTCCCACACTCGGGCCATCCTCCGCTGCCTTTCCCAGGCCATTGGCAGGGAGTGGGACCAGAAGTGGCGCAGCCAGGACAGGAGAGGGCGCCCCGGTGGGATGCCGGTGTGGCGGCGGCAGCCTTATCCATGGCTCGGCGCTGGCGCCGAGTTGTGCTTTGAGTGTTGTTTTGCTTGGGGTTCCTGGGATCCCCAGGTTTAGTTCCCAACCCACCTGGAGCTGGCGCATTCTTTCCTCCGGTTACCCCTGCCCTTGCGACCTGCCAGGCGGTGAGGAGCTGTCTCACGGCCCACGGCGTTCTCCTCGCTTGGACTCACACTTGCCTGCTCCTCTGAGGTGTTTTTTTTTTTAGCCTCCGTGTGGCTTACACAAGGCTGGAGGGCCTCCCCGTGGCAGGGCCAGCTTGGCCGCAGCCTTTGTTCCTTGGTGCAGGAGCAGTGCCCCGCCTGCCCCGGAGTGAGGGCGGGGCTGCCGTGAGCTGTCATCCACGCGCGGCACAGAGTTCCGTCCTCATCCACGCGCGGCACAAAGTTCCGTCCTCATCCACGCGTGGCACAGACGGGTTCCCGGTGGATCCAACAGCAGAGCTTTAGAAACTTCAGAATTAGGTTAGAGGAAGACGACGGGGGAGCTCCCCCAGATCCGCGAGAAATAGACAGCGAGAGGGACGCACGGGCCAGGACACAGAGAGGGAGCGGAGCAGGACGGGCGCACACGGCAAGAGGGTAGCAGGGGCCAGGGTACAGAGAGGGAGCGGAGCAGGATGGGCACACACAGCAAGAGGGATGCACGGGCTGGATACAGAGAGGGAGCGGAGCAGGATGGGTGCACACGGCAAGAGGGACGCACGGGCTGGATACAGAGAGGGAGCGGAGCAGGATGGGCGCACACGGCAAGAGGGGAGTAGGGGCCAAGGGTACAGAGAGGGAGCTGAGCGGGGACGGGAGCCGCCTGCAACGCGAGAGAAAGTGCTCACTCACTGCTGAGAGAAGCGCAGGGAGTGGGGAATCGGCGCGTTCTCTTGGCCGTCGCCGCGGTGTGAAGGTTGAGATGCCGTTGGAGGGAGAGCTGGCCCCTGCGGGCCTGCAGCCGCGTTGACAGTTCCCTGAGATCTGGAGAGGCCCCTGCAGCCCGGGAGTGGCCTTCCAGGCTCCTGATGCCAGGGACAGCTAACCCACAGGGACAGGGAGACTCGGCCCGGGCTGCCCATGACGAGGCTTGGAGCCTTCAGACGCACACAGCAGCTCGGCTCCCCAGCAGCCCGGGTGGACGGCTGGGGTTTGTTCTGCCGTCGCCGTGTCAGCTAAGTGAGCAGATAGATCTGCAGGCAGCGTTATGGCTGGAACTTCCCGGTGTGAGTCGCAAGATCTGCAGAGAAGCGCGCAGTGTGGCAGCGTCTGAGGAGCCTGCGCGCTGTTGAGGTGCACGTGTTTGCTGCGCGAGCTTCGCCAGCCGCCCAGTGCCGCCCGCCTCTCCTCAGTCTTCCCTGCTGTGAAGTGGGATGGATCAAAGGCCTGGGATGTCCAGCAGAACTTGAGGAACCTTGCACAGCCGTTGGAGGATGTTTTAATGACCTTGAGGTTAGGAGGCTTCCTCAGAGAAGAGGGGCAGGGCAGAGAGCCCGGGGAGGAGGCCCGGAAGCGTGGGAGGTCCTGCGAGAGGAGCGTGGGCAGCCTCAGCCTGGGAGACCCACAGAAGACGCCACCGCGAGACCCGACCAGCAAGGAGGAGCGTGGCCGCTCCTCCAAGCACGTCAGTGGACAGCACAGCGCAAAGTGGGCAGAGGCTGGGGTGTGAGGACTGGGGAGTGAGGCCGCGTCCCTCTGCTCGGCCCGGACGCGGAGCCAGGCCCAGCGGGGGCTCTCGGCTTCGGTGATGCCACGCTCGCCCTGCCGTCCCTGCCCCGCCGCCGGCCAGTGAGACAGTTCCACACCCCCACGGCTGCCCTGCTCTGCATGTCCTTGACGACCAGGCCCAGTGCTCCCTGGGCCCGGTGCTCCCTGGATTCGGTGCTCCCTGGGCCTGGTGCTCCCTGGGCCCGGTGCTCCCTGGATTCGGTGCTCCCTGGGCCTGGTGCTCCCTGGGTTCAGTGCTCCCTGGGCCTGGTGCTCCCTGGGCCTGGTGCTCCCTGGATTCGGTGCTCCCTGGGCCTGGTGCTCCCTGGGCCCGGTGCTCCCTGGGCCTGGTGCTCCCTGGTTCAGTGCTCCCTGGGCCCGGTGCTCCCTGGGCCTGGTGCTCCCTGGGCCCGGTGCTCCCTGGGCCTGGTGCTCCCTGGATTCGGTGCTCCCTGGATTCGGTGCTCCCTGGGCCCGGTGCTCCCTGGGCCTGGTGCTCCCTGGATTCGGTGCTCCCTGGGCCTGGTGCTCCCTGGGCCCGGTGCTCCCTGGGCCTGGTGCTCCCTGGGCCTGGTGCTCCCTGGATTCGGTGCTCCCTGGGCCTGGTGCTCCCTGGGCCCGGTGCTCCCTGGGCCTGGTGCTCCCTGGATTCGGTGCTCCCTGGGCCCGGTGCTCCCTGGGCCTGGTGCTCCCTGGATTCGGTGCTCCCTGGGCCTGGTGCTCCCTGGATTCGGTGCTCCCTGGGCCCGGAAGCCCCGCCGGAGATGCTTCTGCCACGGGTGCGGGCGTCCGGAGGAACCGCAGGGCGTGTTGGGTCAGGTCGAGCTGGTCAGGCAGGCGTCCCCCTCCGTCTGTCTGTCCGCGGGTGCCTGTCCTTGTGGGGCTGACAGCTTGCGGTGGGAGATTAAAGGAGCCGAGTGTGGGGACAGGGACGGGGCGGGGCCTCTGCTCCTGCCCCGTCTTGCCGTGGACCTGCAGAGTCAGTGGAGAAACTGGGACGGTGGGCACGTGGCCTGCGGGGAGCTGTCCAGTGGCCCGTCTGGGTGTGGCTGGCTTGTGCGAGCGGGGTCCCTGAGGGCAGAGGTCGGTGACGCCGGGCTGCGCGCCTCTTCGCGGCGAGTCCCGGTGGCCTGTGTGGGGTGGCGGCGCCCCAGCAAAGCAGACCCTGATCTGCAGCTTGGCTTGTCTGTCCTAGCAGGAGGGAGCGCCCCTCCTTTTGCCGAGTGCCCTGGGAGTGAAGCGGCCGTCCTTCTCGCCGTCCCTCAGGCCGTCGGTCTGTGTATTTCTGCCTCCCTGGTGTTAGCTGTGAGGATACGTGTCCTGCAGAGCTGTGGGGACAAAGCTGTGTCTACAGTTCTGGTTTGCCTCTCATTCCTCGCACGGTGGAGGGAAGCGATGCCCCCGGCTCTGGTCAGGTCCTCGCAG